TAAAATAACATTCTGTGGTCCTAATCAGTCTTTTATTTCCTTCTATGAATGTTTTGTTGAAATAGCAATTGCTTAGAAAGTTAGGAAAATGCTCATGGTACACCCCTTTATTGATACAGGAAAAAATGTCCTTACTGAGATGAATTGTTTTTATTCCTGCTCTCTGCCTATCCCTAGGCACAGGATAGCTACTTTGAAATTTTCTCAAAAATGTATTTCAAAGAGTATTTGTAAGTATGCATTATAAAATGACTTCCTAAAGGAAGGAAGCACAGTGACTTCTGCTGAGAGATGAGAAACTATAGGCAAATCTGGCAGCATTCAAAAAAAAAAAAAAAAAAAATTGGGTGAAGTGTAAAGACTCCTTTGCCAGATGAATCATCTCATTAGTCAGTGAAATAAAAAGGTCTAAAAATTGTCTAGCTGCAAGTTAAGTTAGTATTTTGTATCATTATGGAATGATACTCGAGGGAGTGGTGAGGTACTGGAACAGGCTGCCCAGAGGGGTTGTTGATGCCCCATCCCTGGAAATGTTTGAGGCCAGATTGGATGGGGCCCTGAGCAACCTGGTCTAGCATTAAATGTGGAGGTTGGTGGCCCTGCATGTGGCAGGGGAGTTAAAGATTCATGATCCTTGAGGTGCCTTCCAACTCTGGCCATTCTGTGATACAATGAAATTTTTATTTAATAGTTCAGATTTGAACTAAGCTAATTTACATCAGTCACTCTGGAAGTAATGCCTCCTATTTATTTCCATGGAAACTACAATACATACAAAAAGCACAATAGCACTGCTTGATAGACCAGCTTCTCAGCTACAAAACACTTTTTCAATACAGTCACCACCATTAGCTGTGCATTTTCACCAGTGATAAACAAAAGCCTGTTATGCTCATAAAAAAAATCAGTCACTCATGTCCTGTCCATTGTTCCATATTGCAGGTAAGTTCTTTAACCTTAGTTATACATACTCAATAACAATTGCAAATGCACTTTTTCTGGCATAATAGCCTTTACTTTTTACACTAATTACAAAATAAAACAAACAAATCCCCAAAACAAGAAACAAAACCCTCACAACTGTACTGAAAGTACTAGGGAACATTTTATTTGCATTTTAGTAAAATACCAGTCATTTAAATTGTCAAATTTGTTCCCAAGAGCATCTCTGACAATAAGACTCAATGACAAAAGCAAATAATGATTTAAAAAAAAAAAATAAAAATTGAGGAGATACCATTCTAATGCATCTGTTTTAAATTGATCATTAAATACAGAAGGTTAAATTAACTTTTCATATAGATGGAAGATACAGTTTCTCTTCTACATAAGTAGAGTTTCCTGTACACTTCTTTATAGCAGCAATTACTATGGGGTGTGAATTGTGAATACACTACAGACTTGGGAGGAATGTGTTCTTGATTCTGAAGGAATTAGTAGCATGATAAAGATACGTGGTTCACCTAAAGTTCTACATTTTTACATTTTAAGTACATTTGTCTAGTGTAAATCTGTCGAACTCAATAGTAGTTCTGTGTTTGTTTTAAATTGGAACAAATGACATTCAGAATGTGATACTAGGAAATAACACTCAAGTCCCTTTGTGTCAACTTTTTGTTATTATTAAACTCCTTAGCAGTGCTTATTGTTCAGTTACATACACACTTAAGTATATACTGTGTGGTGAGAGAATAGAGTGAGTTCAAAGGAAGAAATAAATTGGCCCTTCTGAGAAAATAGGATTCACTGCCATAGCACATACTTAAAATGTAGTCTTAAGAAAATTTCAGATTTACTCACAGATTGCAACTTTCTTCTCTTTTTAAGTACGCAATCTGTTTTCGTACAGAAATGAGAAGCTACAGAAATGAGAAATGAGAGCTTTGTGAAACTATATTTATAGTCTGGTGTAAAATATAATACAACCATCTACTTTCTGTGCTACATAATTGAATTGTATCATATTGTCTAGAAATGTCCCTGAATGTTTCTTAGTAGAAAAGGGAGATATTTACCCAAATGGAAAAAAAGTACTGCTGAATTATTTCAAGTTCCTTTATGGTTTGGTTTTCTTTATTTTCAAGTAAAGTATCCTTTTCTGCACTTAAATTAAAAAATAAAATTAAAAAGCACTGCTTTACTTTGCTTTATTTCATTACCAGTATCTTCTCATTATTGCATTCAATGAACAGTGTTCAAGTAGAGCTTTGGTCTGCTAATGTTTCCTTGAATTTCCTTGTGCAAAGTATGAATAGTTTTAGCAAAACTTCTGGACTTCAGTTTGGACATGAAGTTAATAGAATCAAGAATCATAGAAAAGCTTGGGTTGGAAGGAATCATCTTTCTAACCTGCTGCTGTTGGCAGGGCTGCCCCCCACCAGCTCAGGCTGCCCGGAGGGGCCAACCTGGCCTTGACCACCTTCACAGATGGGGCACCACAGCTTTTCTGGGCAGCTGTGCCACTGTCTCACTGCCCTCTGAGGAAACAGTGCCCTCTTAACATCAAACCTATACATCCCTTCTTTTAGTTTAAATCTCCTCCTATCAATATCAGACTGTAAAATATTGATTTATTTGTATCAGTTCCCTTTATGATATGATGTAAATTGTTATGGATTTGTCTTACAAAAAGGCTGGAGAAAATTCTTCCTTAGGAATTCCAGGAAAGCAAGTCTCTGTACAAATCTGCTCATTGCCACTACTGTGGACAGGGGTGAAAATTGGTCAGGCTTCCATTTACTTTTAAATCCCTTATAAACACGGCAATTGTTTTGTGTATATCTCTCAAAGAGGAGATTAAGACTGTTCCATGCTGTTTGAGTCACATAATCTTCTATGGTCTCTCTATCTTGCCTTGTAATTTTAATTTTTATATAGAAATGTAGACTCTTGTCTCGTGTTTAATATTATTCCTTTTTTAATTCTTCTTAATTTCATTTAAAATGAATTTTTTTATCTTAATCTGTACTAAGATCCATAATGGTAGACGCCTTATGAAAATAAAAATTCCTGTGAGGTTTTGTTACACTAAAGGAATTCATGTTACAAACTTATTGTATTTTATACACTGATTTTAAACACTGCTAATCAGTGCTAATCTTAATAGAAGTTGTAACTGGAAAAAGTTGAGGGAAAATTTAATTATTACATGGCAGTTCAGTTTTTCACAAAACACTGAGCCACGTGATAGGTATTAAAAATAAGATTTATTTTTACACTGGTTCTTTCCATCATTGGTGCTTTTTGATGTAATAGTTATTTAGAAGGAAGTCTCAAATAATAAAATGTGTTGAGTGGAGTGTTTGCTTCTATAACATTCATTTACTTGTTTTAAAGCAATATTTCCTGACCATGATTTTTTAATGATGGACATTTCTTTCCTCTTGCTGTTTCTGCCTGTAAGTCACCAAAGTTACCATTGGATTCAAGGGTTGGGAGTAAGCCTTTAACTTGTTGAAATCAGTGATAAACATCAGGCTATGTTAGTGACATGGGAACTCTGGTTTAGAGTTCTATACTGCTTTATTAATACAATAAGTATGTTGTTTAACCAAGTATGAATGCAAAAACCAGTTTTTATTTTGTTTGCTTCAGTGAGTTCCTAAATACTATACACTTGCATTATTGTAGACAATTTATCACAGTCCTCCAAGGACAAAATTGATATTTCTTACTAAAAAGAAACGGTGCTGATTATGAAATACAAGCAAGTTCCTCAGAATATTAATATTAATTGAATCTTGAAATATCACAGTTCTGAGTTGAATTGCTTTTGACTTTGAATCCAGATTTTCCTTTATCTGTATCTGACAACCTCTGAAGAATTTCAGTCCATGCAAGATTGAAAGCTATGAGCAAGTATAGTCAGTACAGCTGGCAAAAATAGATCTTCTACTGCTGCATATAAGAACTAAATACTTTGAATGGTTTCTAGAGCATTAATTTTGACACTCAGAAAATAATTATCACTTTTAATTAATGTCTATTTTTATTATTTACTTAGGAAGAGTGCTTAATGAAGTACTATGTATTTTTCAAAAAACGTATAAGATACATTTATCCAAAAGGATGCTGGATTACCAGATAGGGAACCCTCTTTTTTTTGAGGGAGTAGGGTGATTCAGTAGTGTAGTTGATCAAGGAAGTAAATATGCAAATGGCACTCATATCTGACTTCATTATATGAAGTAAGACTATAGCTGAGATTAGCAAAAGACAATTTGTCTCATAGGAAATTCATATTGATTCAGGATGAATATAAATATGTTTTACAATTGCATACTTTCACACATTTCGCAGTGTTGAAATCAGCTAAAACTCCTAGTTAATTTTTGTCTCTAAATAATAATTTATAGTTCAAGAAGTTTTGCCTGCTACTGATTCTGTAGGGCATGTTTGTTAATGAGACAACATCAGCAAAAGTGAGTTGGGCCCACTGTATTGTTGTATTACATGCAGAGGAACTTATTGATAGAGATGGAGTAATTTTATTTTAAAATGGAACAAAGTACTCAACAAAATTGAAATTCTTAATATATCAAACTTTATAAAGAATTAGAACAAGATTCTTTTGATTTTGGTCTGAGAAGGAGGAGAGGGAATCTCAGGCAAGAATGAGATGATTATAAACAGCATAGTAAAAATTGCTGTGTTACCGCTGTCTGATAATCAGCATGACCCAGAATCATTTTAAGAAATGCTCAGTGTGGTTATAAGGATCCTCTTCCATCCAATTAGTTTCAAAGAGTAAAATTAAAAAACAAAGAATAGCTTCAACAAACAAAAAAAAGCTTCAGCATTTCTAGAATGATCCTCATTTTGTTGTAGAGGAACAGAGAGGGATTTAAAGAAAAGTGATTCATATGATCACTGTGTGACTGTGAACTCATACCTAACTCTCTTGTTGAGGTAGCATCCAAAAGTAACATAATGCAACAGTAGAACGAGCAGCTATTTGTCCTAGACCTTCTGATGTTAAGTGATTATGCTTTTATTTGTAGTATTCAGGATGTATGCTTCAGAGGAGGGTGATCTGATTATAGCCCAGAAGAATGATCATGGTGGCATTGAAGATAGTCATTGGCTTACTCATGTTCTTCACTGAGACAGTGATTGGGCTCCAGAACAGTCTCCCCAGGGCAGCCTCAAGCTGCCAGAGTTCAAGGAGTGTCTGGACAAGGCTCTCAGAATTGCGGTCCAGTTTTTGGATAGTCCTTTTTTGGAGCTTGGACTTGATGATCCTTATGTGTCCCTTCCAACTTGCGATATTCTATGATTCTTCAAAAGTGACAGAATAAGTTCTGTATATAAAGATGGACAATGACACACAGTGCAGCACGTGATCTCTAAGTCCTAGCTTCTTTAGCTTCTTGCCTCATTGAAGTAGTAATATTGAGAGAAAATACTGCATGGCATTGTCAAGTGTTTGTCAAGTGTCTTACGTGTTAACTAGCAAATAAAATTGAAGTTTTACCTGTCAATGCTATTATTATTGGATTGTCCTGTCCTTTGCTTGTTTCTTAAGACTCAGATGCTTTCATCTTGAACTAGTTACTAAGAAGTTATTTGTTGCAAGAATGTGGTTGTATAGTGAAGAGGAATCCTATTGTATGATGAATAAAAGGAGCCTAACAAACCAATATGGTCAAAATGTTTAGCTTTGTCTGTGGTCTTTCAGTAAGATAAAGCAAGCTATTTGTTTAATCTGTTGTTTGTGGTTAATTTTCCACTCCCCCCTGCTCGCCCTCAGTTTGTACTTAATATGCACATTAAGGTAAAAATTTATATATATATTCATTCACTGCAGTTACGAAATTATTTGATGTGAAAGCTTCACTGCCTCAGATAAGAAATTGTGATTTTTTTGTTACTTTTTTCCTTTGCTTCCTGTGTCTTGCTACATCTTAGCCTTTCTAATGACAATGAAATTTTTCTTCTTTGTGCTCATCTATGTTCTTCATGTCACTGTTATTCTTTTCTTTCTCTGTTATTCTGATGTCACTGCTAGTGCTCCTTGTGTTGCTGATCCACAGCTAGCAGAGGTCACTAGTGTTAGATCTCTATACACAGAAACTTGTTCTGTGGAAGCTTTGAGTTTTCTGAATGCTTCTCCTTCCTTTCCATTTAAAATGATGAAAAAAAAGAAATGGGAAGGTGAAGAGTAATGTTCATTACCCTTCCCCACTCCCAGAATATCTAGTAGGCTTTGTTATCAAGGCACTCAGTACTGACATCAGGGACCTATGTGAGACCTACAGATCCATAGTATGCTTTAGATTTCTTTTACCTAAACTGTAACGGGATTTGAAACACTATGTGTCACGTTCTAAATTCACAATCTAAGTAAACAGCCATTCTAGAATGAATGGCTCTTTTATTTTACTGAGAGCTGTTCTACTTCATAAAACATAACGATTTATGAAATGAAAAAAGTGGGAAAAGTATAAATCTGATTTTGGATTTTTTCATACCCATTTTGTGTGGGAAAATCTCAGTGTCTCTCCTGTATTTGGTTAGTGTCTTATCAATATTATGAAGGGTATGGCACCTGCAGCAGCATGTTGTGAATTTCTGCACCATGCAACATGCACTGTGCCTGTTTTCTCACCTAGCCTGTTTGTACCAAGACTCATGTCCACCACTGATATCTGATTTTAATAAGAACAATGTATCTTTCTGAAATTAAATTCTTAGAAATTCTATGTGGACAAATTAGCATTTCCTGATAAAAGACTTAATCAGCACAGTTCATCAGCTGAAATTCTTAGCACGTGGGAACACATGGCTATATGTTTACCTCACTGTGCTTTTAATCTTACATTATAAATCTATGAGAAAGCATATGTCAGCATGCCAGATTCTAACTTAAGTTAACCTTTAAAAATGATCTTAAAGCCTGCTCTAGTGTTATTTATGGAGGCTGGTGGCCCTGCCTGCAGCAGGGGGGCGGTGGAACTTGATGATTCTTTAAGTCCCTTTCAACTCCTTTCAACTCAAGCCATTCTGTGATTCCGTGATGATTCTATGAATGTCTCTTGAAGTGCTTGGTATTCTTGTACATTATCTTTAAAATTGAGAAAAGTGAGTTAAAAAACTTCAGAGAAAGGTCTTTTTAAGCCACATTGAGCAACTGACGGATTTACTGAACCTGCCATATAAACAATGCACAAATGTTCATCAAATAGTATTTCCAGGAAGCCCAAACTCTGGTGTATCTTAAATATCCAAGTTCCTCTAGTGATTATCAAGACACCATTCCTTTTCACACAAATTGTCCCAAACCCACAAGACAGAAGTATTGCTTTGCCAATTGCTTTTATTGTAGGAAAGTATTGTTCAGCAGTGGTTCAGTGCGTTTATTATATGACAATAAATCCAAATGATTTGAAGGGTCAAAAATGGAATGGCCCAAATTTACAAATTTATGTGAAATCTATAATTTGATCAATTGACATAACTTAATTAAAAAATATTTTGTCAAATCTTTTCCAAAAATGTAGACTTGCTTGCATTGTGTGTATATATATGTGTGTGTGTATATATATATCTGAAAGTAGTTGGAATGGACAATGCTAATTTTATCTAAGTAGGTTATTCATTTAAATATTGTGTCATTAACATAAAAATCTCTGATAATGGGAAAACCTATTATGTCAGATGCCAAAAGAATACTAAGATCTCTCAAGTTTGAGATCACAATCCTGCTGATTTTTGAGTAAATAATATTTATTTGGGCTTTTTGCTAATTATCTGGCGTTTCAAATTTCTTAAGAGAACCAACACTGATAATTATGAACTGAAACAGAAACAATTTTCAGAGAATTCTAAATTCTCTATTTTTGTCTGCACAGGCTACTCTTCCATACATACTAGAGGAGTACCTGAAATTAAAAAAAAAACTCAACAGAAAGTTTTTGAACCACATGTAACCTAACTGCTGGTAAATTACAAAGCTTTGTTTTTTTTTTAATAGAAATCAGCAAACTACATTATCAGACTAGGAAAGATATCTTGTGGTGAAGTTGCTGCCATAATACACTGCAGTTCTTCTTGATTAGGTGGCTTAACATATTTCGTAATGAACAAAACATTTATTTTCAAGTTGATACATCTCTTTTCTTCACAAAGAGATCAAAGCATAAAGATATGTAGCTTTAAAAAAGTGTGTTGCTGGAAAAAATGTCTCCAGTGACACCTCATTACATTAGTAGAAGAGGGAAGGCTTATTCTTTACTACTTACTAAGATAAGTCAACTATAACACACTTCGCCCTTAAGATGTTAACTTGGGCATCTTTATCTACTGCAGATACAGCAGAAGATGGCAGTCTTTATTCAGCATAAAACACTTAGACTAAGTATTTTCATTTTAAGGAGCAGTGAGTATTCTCATCTACTCAGGAAACCTGTATGCAAATAGTAATATAGTAAATCTTTAGTAAGCATGCCATTTCTGAATTAACAGCTATGTAATAAAACAGAAACCATGTTTTGCATTATTAAAACACAAATGAATGAGATTATGCAGCACTAATGACTGCATCGCTGAACTAGTTTATCTTATGTTTTGTGCTACATACTTATACATATGTATTTGTTAACAAAAAAAAATATTTAGCGGGCAAAAAGGTTATTGATTATCCTTCCAGTTCAGAAATGTGGAAAAGTCCTGATGGTATGGAATTTTTTGCATGTGTACAGCTAGATGATTAAAAAATCAAAGTAGGACATTTCCTTCCTAAGCAGAAAATAAATGAACACGAACAGCTCCAGATGTTTGTTCTATACAATTCAAATATATCTAAAAGTGGAAGATCTAACTCATTCTTAAATTTGGATCACATGCTTGGAGGATTAGTGTTTGTAGTCTTTTCCACTACTCTTCTAGACCTAATGATGAACGCTTATCAAGCACAAATTCCTTTCTGTGCTCCTTCAATCTGTCTTGTAGTATTTGAATTGTTGTATTAGTCATAACCCTAGTTGAAGTAATTTTCTACCATTTGTGCAGCTATAGGAAGCAAATATGTTTCACTGGATAAATTATTTTGCCTCCTAAGATAGGCCTTCTAATTCCCTCATTTTTCAAATAGTTCTGAGTATGATGAGAAAGAACTTTCTGTATTTAATTCCTTTACATAAACAGAGACTATGGTAGATTAGGGTTAAAATAAATATAGATACAAGATCCATCACTTGCCTCAAGTACTTCTGTCTCTTGGTCTGTCTTGAGAAAGTTACTTTATAGATTTGGTGCCAGCCAAAACTCATAAATGATTATGCACTTATTTCAACTATTGAAATTCGTAAGGTTCACTGAAGTCCCGTTTTGAAGTTTGATCAGTTTCTGAGTGCCCACTGAGGTCATTTAACTTTCAGTTTTTATATGCAATATGTATCTTCCCAAGTCTTCTGTGATTTTTTTTCCTGAAAAATTGTATCACATCCCTGTTGTCAGATCTGTTATTCTTTCATATATATATATAGAAGGAATTTTGGAATATCTAAGTGGGAAATTTGTAGCTTATATAAATAGACTTCCAAAGCAAGATTCCAAGAGTCTATAAGATGCCACTGAAGTTTAAGATAGGTGGAATTTGATGGTATGATAATGCAAATTGATATAATTCTAAATGTCCTGAGGATTGATTTTTTTTATCTCTGATGATCAGCTTTTAATCAGTGTGATTTTTTTTTTTTTTTTTTAGAAGAGTAAATACAGTATTTTTACTGAGAATTAAACTGGAGAATTCAGTTTATTTCTTGGCTATCTTTTTTCTCTTTTATCAATAGATTTTCCCTTTTATTTCATTAAAAATAGTGAAGAGGGTTTCAATAATACAGAGGAGGAGCTGGGGAGAGGACTTTTTCCATCCAGGCAATGGTGTTTAATCACCAATACTTTGTCTTCCTTTTTTTCTTTGTTGCATGTTTCTTCAAGAGTGTTTTTTTAAAAAATGCCAATATGATTAAATGTAGCTATAGAACTGTATCAAAAAAGATAATCCTGCATTCCTTATGAGAAATTCTGGTGGTGATTTTTCCTTTTTATTTTATTTTTTTCCCCTCAGCCTAGTCTTTTATCTGTGTGTTTTTTTTTTTTCTTCCTAGTTTAAGTATGAATTCTTCAATATGTTACATCTTCTTCGTATTGAACTCTCAGAGAAAAGCTCTGGTTGAAGCTCTGTTGCTTTACATGGTTGCACTCAGCTCAACAAATAATTGTTTTTAAACTCTCATCAACAGGATTATGTAGCACACAGGAAATGAAAGGTCAGCTTCAAATCTGATATGGATAGTTGCACAAAAAGAAAAGTTAATGAAAACACTTTTTTTTTTACTAGAACTACATTGCAGACTTTTACTCTCAGCTCAGATTTCAGAAAGGGCCCAGGCTGCATTAGATTTATAGCTTCTCAGCAGGGCTACCATCACTCTTGGATCTGTACTGTCAATGCTGAAGGACTTGGAAACCCCACTGCTTTCTAGTCCTTGCAGAAAACTTCAGGATACAGCTGTTGTAATTACTTTGGCAAGTAGGACTACTGAGACTTGGAAGGTCAAAATCCAGATATTTAGGAAATGTATTGAAATGAAAATTTCCCCATTCCCAGAAAACACTATCTCATTTCATACTGAGTCTTGTGTTTTGTTCCAGTATCCTTTACTATGGCTTTACACTGCAAATGCTGATGCTCTAAGAGA